TGTGTGTGTGTGTGTGTGTGTGTGTGTGTGTGTGTGTGTTTGTAACTCCTGTTCCGCCGTCATTGGCGTCGCCACTAGTCGCAGCGCTTTGAAGACACCCACGTATGCAGGTTTGAATCTCCTGACAAGCTCTGGTGTCACAATCCGTGAAAAACTTGAAAACCTTCAAAAAGGTGATAAAGAAGAAAGATAAAATTATTTGAAAAAAATATTTCCTTGCAGCAGCAATGTGCGTGTGTTTGTGTTCCCCCGTAACCCATAGCGCACCGCGCTAAGAGCCGCACAGCATGCTGTGATATGGCCGCTCAGAGCCTCAGACCACAGGCTAATACATGCATGTTGTTTATCATGGGGAGTAGCCATAGAAGCAGCTTGGTGCTGTACTACTGACAAAGGGTTGGACCCCACAGCCGCGCGGACGATTTTCGTCCTTCCCACCGCCGACGGGAATTTTCCTTCGCCAGCGGAGAGGCGGAGTTGGAGGGGATCCCACCGCGCCTGTTTTTTTTCCATCCCCGGTCGTTTCGGTTTCCTGAACAGGAAAGTGGCCGAGGACTTTCCAATTCGGGCAAGGCGTTATGGGCGTTCGGTGAGGCTGCTGTGGACCTGGGTACAGGACGCCATTCCACGCCGCTGTCCTTGGGCGACGTTGTGTGGCGTGTGGCATCGTGGGTGGGGCAGCACCCGACAGAAGGGGTCGACTTCGGTTGGGGAACCGATGCAGCCCTTTTGCGACCGTTTGACACGGCCGTTGCGGGCCGGTTGTTCCAGGGGACATTTCGACCGTTATCGACCTTCTTGTTTGTATCCATGGTGGAACCACGGGATTCCACGGTCCCACCTGGGAAAGGGCGAAGGCGATGTGGGGCGCAGCGAGCATGCTCTCTCGGAGTCCGTGGCTGTTTCGGGCAACGCACCCGTGTTCGTCACAGTCGATATGTTCGCCATAGCCGATCGTTGTTGAAGGTCGCGCCTACGGATCGGGGTATCGCCGCGGTTGCGTGTCTCTGTCGTCTGCGACATAGCCCTGTGTTGCGGGGTGGGGTGGGGGGGGGGAGGGAGGTTTGTGGTGGCATTGGGAGACGTTGTGTGCCGTTGTGAAGCCCATGGAGAGCGGTGTGGAAGACGTTGGGGACTGGGCAGGGCGAGGTGTGGTAGGCGACAATGACATTGACAATGACGACCATTTGTTCATGGTTGTTTTTATTGTTATACAGTTGGTGATGCAGTGGAACAAGGCGGCTCTTGCTGTTCTCAATGCAGTGGCTTCATCCTGTTCAGCTGCACACCCTGAAATGGGGGAGGTTCTTCTGCTCCTCGCTGGGGGCTTCCTGCACAACGTTTCCCTTGTGTCCGCCGCCATGGAAATCGTGAACAACCGACGGAGGAGACGATCCAGGAGTATGTGGGTTCTGGACTGCCATGGGGGGACGTGGAAAGATCTCCAGAAGGTCGGTGAGGCTCATGACAAGGTCTTCGTCCGGTTCTGCAGACTCCCTCGACCTCTCTTCTATGAAGTTGCACAGCGAATAGCCCCACACATTCAGCGGAAGTTGACGAATTGGAGGCAGCCAATTCCAGCTGCACAGAAGTTCGCGTGCTCGTTGATCAGATGGGCCACTGGAGGCTATTACCGGCAGACGAGCCACGGGATGGGGATGGGGCTGGCGAGTGCGTTGAGGAGTAACGAGGACGTTGCGGACGCCCTCATCAAGGAGTACGGCCACCCTCATCAAGGAGTACGGCCACCTCATAAGGTTCCCTGAAGGACGCCGTTTGCAGGAGGTGATGGATGCGTTCGAGAGGAAAGGGTTCCCAGGGTGCGTGGGTGCGATTGATGGGACACATCTATACATCGAGAAGCCAAAGAACGAGCGGGCAGAATGCTACTACGACCGCACGAGGCAGTTCTCGCTTGTGGCGCAAGTGGTGTGCGAGCACGAGTGCAGGATCCAGGATGTTTTCGTGGGGTGCCCTGGATCGGTGCATGACTCACGTGCCGTTCGCATATCGCACCTTTACAGGGATGCACAGGATGGGCGTGGGATATTCCATGGTGGCACATCCTTTCTTCATGATGGCACACCTGTCCGCCGCTACGTTCTCGGGGACGCAGGGTACCCATTGCTGCCTTGGCTGATGACACCGGTTGGAGGAGACGAGCGCACGCCCCAAGAGGTGAATTTCGATGATTGCCACACGTCGGCGAGGAGTTGCATCGAACGCACGTTCGCACTTCTGAAGGGTGTGTGGCGAAATTTCTTGAGGCGGCAAATCGGCAACATGAAGACGATCATGAAGGAGTTCATGGCCGTCTGCATCTTGCACAATATGATGGTCGACATGCGAATCGACGTCGACTTGGATGACCTTGACTCGGATGACGACGACGATCAAGCAAACTGTGGAAACTTTCGTTGTCGACGACGTCCGCGTGTCCAGCAGGCTGTCCAGCAGCCCCTGAGGAACCGTCGGGACGGCACGTACGGTACCGCCGAGGGTAGGGTGGCGAAGGCGAGGCTCATCGCGCACGTCGATCACCATGTGCGGGTGCATGGCCGACTACCTGCCAACCCCTGGAGACAAGCGCGAGCTGCGCCGTAGACACAAACGGGAAACGATGACAAAATGTTCTCGCTCTCTCTCTCTCTCTCTCTCTCTCTCTCTCTCTCTCTCTCTCTCTCTCTCTCGTCGTAGATAGATAGATAGATAGATAGATAGATAGATAGATAGATAGATAGATAAATCTGTCTATCTATCTATCTATCTATCTATGCATCTATCTTTTTTCCACCTGCGTATCTGACTATCTGTCCACCCATCTATCTATCCACCGATCTATCTATTTACCTATCTGTTTGTCTATCCATCTGTCCACGCATGGAGCCTCTCCAATACATATGTGCGAGGGCATGTGCGTTTGTCGAAACTAGTCAGGCAATCTGCGTAGCACGGTGGTTGCACATGCAGACAGGAGGTCATGCTGTCATGAACGATATCAATTGGCATTCCAATGAGATTTCTGCGAAATCACTTTTCAACCGTGTGCTAGTTCGTTTGAATTTTATTTTTTTTTATTTTTTTTTATCTGTCTTTCACAATGTTTCTGATTCGTGATGTGAATGTCTTCGAACTTGTCACGAACCGGAATGTCTTTGAAAGTGGTTGGCGTTCGTGATGTGAATGGCATTTGTGATGTGAAATGTTCGTAATGCGAGCAACGAATAGTCGGTGATGCAGCTTCAAAACGTGTTCATACTTTCATCACATTCAGTCGTTTATCAATGGCAGAAGCAGATATGGACAAGCGAAGATGTATATGCATATACATAACGAATGCAAATGTTGACGAGAAGCGACAAGCCAAAAAAACGATATTATTTTCAAAGTTCGAAAAAATGATGACAACAGACGACAAGAAAACGATGAAGAGCACACACACGCATCCGCACTCAAGCAACCGCACCAATTATAGACCGGCAGATGAAAAAAAAAATTGTTTCTCACGACGGATTTTTTTTCCTTCTTGCACTCCGTTCTCACAAAAATCCCGAAAAAAGGCGCTCAAAGCACCAACCAACATCGGCAATGGCCTCGTTCCGGCCATTGATTCACACACGAATACTACCACGTATCCAACTGGTGGTGCATTGTCACAACATGCTTGACACGTGGTTGTTTTGACACCCATGCCGGCAAAACAACTACGCGGTCAGGGGACGATTGCTTCTCGCCGCGCCCCCCCCCCCCCCCCCCCCACACACACACACACGACGATCGAGGTTCATGACGTTAGGGACATTACTCGTCGCCGGCGGCCCACTGCTATCCTCCTCGACTTCCCTAACAAAAGAAAGAAAAAAAGAAAAACGAAAAAAACAACAACGACCGACAGATCACCGAAGCACACGACGGTGACTCAAATGCAGACATGGCAGCACATCTTGTCGTCACAGTGCGGGGGATCTCCTCCCTTCTGCGCTGCCATGTCATCTTCCAACCTCTGCACACCCAACACCCCCCCCCCCCCACCGCAGAGCAAGCGACGACCGACAAATGACCCGTGGCCTAAGCGACAACCTACATCCAACCCTCCAACTGCTCCATACCCAACATGCAGATGGTCGTTTCGCTCTCTAATCGCGCGACGGGAACAAATCTGCGGAAAACCCATCAGCGGGAACATGACTGTTGACGTGGCAGCATGGAAGATGATGATCTTTCGGGGTTGTCCTCCCTTCTGCGCTGCCGTGTCGCCGTGCAACCGATTCACACCGAAGACGAAGATCTGTGAATCGACGTCCACGCAACCGTGCTTCCCGAAAACGCCAGGGTGGTAACGTCCTAGCCACCTTCGTGCATGACGTGACCGCATAACATCTTTCCTTGCGCTTCATCGCCGAACATGCAACACTCCCCTTCACACTCACCACCACCGACGCACAGCCTTCATATCGTCATCCGGACACCACGACTTCACAACGCCGTGCAAGTACTGCCTTCCCCGGAGAGGGGGCTGCATGTGCGCCACGTAGAAGGCATTGCCGTTAAGCGCATCCATGTGTTCATCAGCTATGGCGGACACCAGGTATCTAACGATGTCACCGACGACATCACGTTCTGGGAGACGCAAGTCGTCGGGGACGACTTCCGACAGCTTCTTCACGTTGAGGATGACGTCCACCAGGTTGCCTTCCTTGTCGTACCCGAAACCGCCATTGATCTTCATCGCCACAGTCCCTTCCACGAGAACATAGTACACACGACTATGGAGATCAGCCGTGTCAATGCTGAAATCCATCCATCCGCGAGGGTGGCAACGACGCTCCAACTTCCCTGGACGATGACGGCTTTCCTGCCCACGATCTCCCGCACCACCTCCTCGATACCCGCAATTTCTCTCTCTCTCTCTCTCTCTCTCTCTCTCTCTCTCTCTCTCTCTCTCTCTCTCTCT